ATAACTGCCTGCAATTAAGATGTCATCAACATACACAAGGACCACAACAATTCTGCCCTGAATCCATCTCACAAACATAGAGTAGTCTGAAGATGTTTGAGAATACCCATTCTTCATTAATGCAGTAGTCAGTTTGGCAAACCACTGCCTACTAGCCTGCTTGAGCCCATAAAGAGACTTCTTAAGTCTATAAACAAGGCCTTGACCTCTAGGAACATTAGCTCCAGGAGGTATTTCAAGATAAACCTCTTCTTCTAAGTCTCCATGCAGGAATGCATTGGAGACATCCATTTGGTGGATATGCCAGTCCTTTGAAGCTGCCACTGCCAACAAGGTTTTCACAGAATTAATCTTGGCAACAGGTGAGTATGTGTCAAGGAAGTCAATTCCATAAATCTGTGTGTATCCCTTGGCAACAACTCTGGACTTAAATCTCTCAATAGTCCCATCTGATTTGTGTTTAATCTTGAACACCCATTTTGAACCTACAGCTTTCTTACCCTCAGGTAACTTCACAACTTCCCAAGTCTGGTTCTCTTCCAATGCTGCCAACTCTTCATTACAAGCCTGGTTCCATCTGGGATCTTTGCAGGCTTCAGCATAGGAAGTAGGTTCCACTTCCATCATGACACTGAATGCAAAGGATCTCTGTGCAGGAGTGAGGTTTTCATAAGAGAAGGTCTTCCAGATGTGATGTTTGGAACATGATGCAGAAATATTTATGTCATAGTCTTTGTGCCATGCTGGGACATTTCTGGTTCTAGTGGACTTCCTGAGGAGTTCAGCCTCATTGGAATCATCATCATCAGGGAAAACTTCAATCTCAACCTCCCCCCACCAGAATGCAAACCAGGAGACTCTGAACAGGAAGTGTGTTTAGAAGAAGAAGGAGAAGAGGAAGAAGTTGGAGATGGAAAGGAAGTGTGTGAATGAGATGAACTGGGGGCATTCTGGGAAGTGGATGTGGTAGGTGATGAAGAGGAAGAAGGGGTAGCTGAAGGTAGAGGTGACAAGGTAGGAAGAATAGGGTCTGAAAGGAGAGTAGGGGTATTAGAAGAGGAGGAAGTGATGTGGAAAGGTAGAATTGTCTCATAGAATTTAACATCTCTAGAGACAAAGAAACTGTGGGAATTGAGGTCATAAAGTTTAAAGCCTTTAATCCCAGAAGGGAAGCCAAGAAAAATGCATTGCCTTGCACGAGAATCAAATTTGGTCCTATCCCTGTGCAAGGTGGCAGCATAGCATAAACAACCAAAAACTCTTAAACTAGAAAGGCTAGGAGGTTTGTGGTAGAGGAGTTCATAGGGGGAAGTGTTGTTCAGGGCAGAAGTGGGGATTCTGTTAATGAGATACACAGCATGCAACACACAGTCACTCCAGAATTGAAGGGGAACTCCAGATTGAAACCTCAATGATCTGGCAACATTCAGTATATGCTGATGTTTCCTTTCAACTCTGGCATTTTGTTCAGGAGTTTCAACACAAGAAAGTTGATGCTCAATCCCATTAGCAGCATAAAATTCTGCCATGTGGAACTCACCTCCCTAATCACTTCTGACAACCTTAACATGTTTTGAATACTGCTTAGACACCATCACACAGAATGATTCTAACAGTTTGCTAGCTTCAGATTTATATTTCAAGTAGGTCCAGACACCTCTTGAGTAATCATCAACAATTGTTAGAAAATAGGAGTAACCATCATGTGATTTAACAGCCAATGGACCCCAGATGTCCACATGAATAAGGGAAAAAGCATCCTGTGCACGAGAGGAACTAACAGGAAAAGGAAGCCTTTTGTGTTTGGCAAAATGACAGGTTTCACAGTGTAAACTAGAGACCCTATTACATGGAACTAATAGTTTCTCTTTCTCTCTGTGAACATGTCCAAGTCTCCAATGCCACAGGTCAAATGTTTGAGGGGAAAAGTTGTAGATGGCTGCTGCCTGATGTTGTGATTGAGGTGGTGAAGAAGATGGGGTAGTCTTGAAGTTTAGTTGATATAGGCCTCTAATCTGCTTTGCCAAACCAGTCCTGGTGAGGGTCATTAGGTCCTGAATTTGGCAAGAGTCAGATTCAAAGTGTAAGGATATTGGTAAGTCATTTGTAAGTTTACTCACAGAAACTAGATTGAATGAGAAACTGGGTACAAGAAGGACATTGTCAAGTACTAGTCCTGAAGGAAGCTTAACTCTCCCTATATGACTCACAGAAACTTTGGTTCCAGTAGGCAAGAAAACAAACTGGTTTTGAACTGGGTGGGACTCAAAGAAGAGATCTAGGCTGCAGGCTATATGGTCAGAGGCACCAGTATCGAGTATCCATATACCAAGCAACCCATTCGATTATTGTGGAAGATAAGAAGAGAGAATGTATTTACCAGCATGATTTGGAAAGTGAGGTATGTGCTGAGCCACTGAGAAAGCATGATGATTAATGGAGGGAGAGGCTGGTGGAGATGGGCTTGGTGAAGGTGGGACTGAGTTCAGGAGGAACCTCAACTTGTTTAACTCCTCAGAAGATAAGCCAAAATTGCCACTGGAGGGTCTAGTGTCAATGCTTAGTTTGGATTCTGAACTAGCAGTGTCACTGTCAGTAGAGGAGTCACTTTGAGAAACAGCTGCAGCCACATTTCCTCCTGCCATTCTTGCCTTCTTACGTTTAAGACTGTAACATTCATCAATGGTATGGTTTTCTTTCTTGCAGTACCTGCAAAACTTCTTTCCATCAGGAGTAATGTCCATACCCTTCTGTTGATTACTTGAATTTCCTGTAACAGCAAGTGCTACAGTTTGAACTCCCTTAGTCCCTCCAGCCTTGTCTCCTTTAGTCTTCTGTTCATGCTGCAGTAAGTCGTTTACAGCACTGTCCACTGTAGGAAGTGGCTTCATCATCAATAGCTGTGTATGCACAATCTCATACTCAGACCTTAACCCTTTCAGAAAGCGGATGAGGTATTCCACTTCCTGCTTCTGCTTAAAAGCCTCTACAGCTGCACAAGGTCGAGTGCGTTGTGCTACACAATCACATTCAACAATGGGGTTAAACTGTGAGTATTCTTCCCATAGACCCTTAAATGCTGTGTAATACTGTGTGATATTCATGGACCCTTGCTTACAAGCAATGATCTGATCCTGAAGATTAGCCAATTTAATGGCATTTGGAAGTCCAAATCTCCTTTTCAACTCTTCCCAGAGGACCTGGGCATTCTCATGCTGTAAAACACTTCTTCTAATTTCCTTTTCAATTGAATTGAGAATCCAGCATAGAACCAAAGTATTTGAGGCATCCCATAACCCAAAAGCAGGATCGTCAACAGGTGGCATGGCAATCGTACCATCTATGAATCCTATCTTGTGTTTAGTCTTCAAAGCCATACGAATTGCTCGTTGCCACATTTGGTAGTTTGAACCATCCAGATTTTCAGAAACAATCGACTGTGAGATGTTTTCATTTGGGTTTATGTAAAATGGGTTACCAAACAGTAGATCTGCTCGTCCATTGTTGCCGTTGTTGTTGTTGGGGTTGTTGTTGGTTGTCCCGGTGTTGTTACTTCCTCCACTCGTCTGACCATCGAAGCTGCCAAAGGGAATTGCTCCAGGATTGAGTGGAGTGCCACCAGGAGTGTTTGGACGAGGTGTAGTCGCCATTGCAAATCACTGGAACTGTTCCAGCTCTGATACCATATAGAAAAGCTCAATGAGCTTAGGGTTTGTTAGAGGAAGAAGAAGAGAATAAGGCGGCACAGAAATGAGGGAACCCGCAAGAGGTGATTCTCCTCTGCTGTTTGGTATTTATACCAAAGAGAAAGGTAAAGTTCAGTACAGTAAAAATGGAACCAGTCCGTTAAAATAGAAATACAAAAGACAGTAAATAAACGCGCCACTTGTCATCGTGTGATTGGCCCTTCGTTGCTCCACCTAACGTTCACTGAGAAAACCTCCACGACGTCGCTTTGGTCTTCGCTTTAAACATCAGATGGAGGGGAAGGCAGAAACGTTTCGTTTCTGCCTGGTCCGTTTCTTCTTCAATCTTCAAGCTCGCGCCTTCTGCAGATGACCGTTGGAGATCAATCATCTTCTTCCTGGATTGATAACTAAAACCAGCACATGAATAGGCATATGCTATGTCATTAATCCTAGAGATGTTCTTTGTTTCTCTACGCTTAATGCAATCTTCAACTAATTTGTGGCTCTACGCACATGAATAGGCATATGCTATGTCATTAATCCTAGAGATGAAACCTTCATTTAACATTCTTTCTCTCAAATCCAAGGCAATGTCAGTCTCTCTACGTCTACAGTAACCATCTATCAAAATATTGTAAGAGACAACATTTGGAGCATGGCCTTTAGCATGAAGTTTATCAAAAAGCCTTTGTGCTGGACTCGTGTTTCCTGATTTACATAGGCCATTCATCAAGGCATTGTATGTGGTTATGTTTGCTACTATACCATAGTTCACCATTTCATCACGCAATCTGAAGGCTTCATCCACATTACCAGCTGCAGAACATCCATGAATTAGAGTGCAGTAAGTGAAGTTATGATAGAACCTAGGATTAGGATTCTATCGGAAATTGGGGATTTAGGGATTAAGAATAGAATTAGGGATTTGAGAAAGATAGATAGAGAATCGGCCTAGGCCTTTAGAGGGATTGGGACGAGAATTGAGAGGATTGAGAGAATAGGGTTTTGGAGAGAGTTTCTTAATATTCTGCTTGACTAATTATGAATGAAGGACCAATTACATATTTATAGCGAAAGACTAGAAAAACCTAATAGACTATCCTAATATGACTCAATCACTACTACCATATCTAATAATATCCTAATTATATTAATATTGATAATTATGGTTAACCTAAAAAGTAGGTTTCCATCATCCCCTTCCCCTTGAAAACCAACCTTGTCCTCAAGGTTGACCAACTCGACCCACTTTTTCACATCGCTCGTGCAACCCGCGCATTTGATCCTCCATCTCTTGCGCTTTCTTTTCTTCTATATAGTAACCACCTTGGCCCTTACCCTTCCATGCAGACTAGGCCCACGGTTCTTGATTCTCGGCCCATAGCTTGAACCAGGTTCTGGGCTATCTTTCCCAAACTGATACCCAGACATCAGTTTCCAACTTGGCCCACCGCTTATTCCCTCCTTTGATCCCATTTTCTCTGGCCTCTCGGCCCACTTGGCCACGGCATTCGCTCGGCCCATATGATCCTGCCCTTGCTCCTCAACGCGACCCCTAACGAAGAATGGAGGTTTTGCAACCCAAGCAGTAGTTCCACCGCCCTCCTTCTTCAGTTCGACCACCGGCGGGTTCTTCCTCTGCTCCGCCTCCTCATTCGTCGACTCACCTACCTCCTCCTTCCTGACGCGACCCACAAGGCGGATGGGTGGTGACCCCAGCGCCGCCGTTCCTTGCACCCCGCCGTCGCAGAGCCCCGACGTCGGCGAGCGCCGCCCCGACGCGCGTCGCGCCACGTCCACCGCCAGCTGCGGTCGTCTCTCCTGCCGCGACAGCGGCCTCCTCGCCCGACGAGTCTTCGCGCGGCAGCGCCCCGAGCGCCAGCTCCCCCGCCGCCACCTGCTGCGGCCGCGCCGCCGATCCCCCGGCCGGGTCGTCCGCCTCTCCCGCCGGCCAGCCCCTCGCGCGCGCCGTTGCGGCTTGGTCGGCACAAATAGCATCAAGGGTCCGTTGGATACGGATCCACACTGGATCAGAGAGCCATGATGAGCTCATTGGAGGCTCTGATACCAATTGATAGAACCTAGGATTAGGGTTCTATCGGAAATTGGGGATTTAGGGATTAAGAACAGAATTAGGGATTTGAGAAAGATCGATAGAGAATCGGCCTAGGCCTTTAGAGGGATTGGGAAGAGAATTGAGAGGATTGGGAGAATAGGGTTTTGGAGAGAGTTTCTTAATATTCTGCTTGATTGATTATGAATGAAGGACCAATTACATATTTATAGCGAAAGACTAGAAAAACCTAATAGACTATCCTAATATGACTCAATCACTACTACCATATCTAATAATATCCTAATTATATTAATATTGATAATTATGGTTAACCTAAAAAGTAGGTTTCCATCAAGTTATCTGAAATGAAACCTCCATGCAACAAACTGGAGAAGAAATTTCTTGTGTCATCAATTTTGGCGGATGTACAAACCCCAGCAATAGCAATATTGTATAGCACATTGTTGGGTGGAGAGAAACTTGTACCATTTTGAACAATGGTGCCGGCAATCTTCTCACAATCTAAATGTCTTTAGTCATTCTGTTGAGACCGTTCAAAAAAGTTCAGGTCTAAAAACGCTGAGATCGAAAATCTTCTGCAACAGTATATTTGCTTCTTCTATCCTGCCAACACTGTAGAGTAGACTGTAGAGGCTACTGATAATTTTGCCACAGATAATCAAATTTGAGCAAATTTATTCGCTATCATCTCAAAATATGTATTGAAAGCTCTATCCTGTCTGCCTTCATCACACAATCAAGAAATTATAGCCCCATAGGTGATGATATTTGGTGCTGTCTCCTGTTTATTCATTTCGCTAAGGAGGTCCACAAGCTTACTCACTTTCCCGCATTTGAAAAGTGCTGTAATGAGAGAGTTATACATGTCAACTAAAGGAGAAATTGCATCCTTTTCCCTCTTCTCTTTGACTTCAAGTGCTTCTTCAACATTTCCAGCTTTGCAGTACCCATCACCCAGGGTTCTGAATGTTATGCCATCAGACTTACAACCGAATTCCGCCATTTTGGCAAAGATCTGCTCAGCTTCATCCATTTTACCCACCTTAGACAGCCCATTGATCATTATATTGAAAGCATATGTGCTTTTGGTAAGCCACCTAGCCAGAACATCATTCCACAAGATTAAAGCCTTCAAAGAGTCTCCCATTTTGAAAAGTCCGCCAAGCAAAGTACAATAGCTGATCTCGTTGGGATTCACCCATCTCTTTAGCATCAAATTCCAGAATAACTAAGCATCTTCAAGGTTACCAACACAGGATAGGCCTTTCAGAAGAACGTTGTAAGTTACGACACTTGGTTCAGTGCCATAATTAATCATATCTTCGCAAACACTGAAAGCTTTGCCAATAAGGCCTTCTCTACAATATCCATCAACAAGAGTACAATAACTATAGGAATTCGGCTTTAGTTTCCAGTCCCTCATTTGCATCAACAATATCTCTGCCTCACAAAACTGACCATTCTTACAGTACCCATTAATGAATGAGTTGCAAACAAATAAATTCATCTTCAACCCTATCTCCAACATTTTGTCTCGAATCCGAGCAGCATCTGCTAGTTTACCAACTTGACAATATCCATCAATCAACACACCATAAGCATATTCATCCACAGACACTCCCTCTTGTTTCATCTGTCCCAGCACCTCTTCCGCATCCTTTAATTTACATCTTCTACAATAACCCTCAATTACCTAAGTAAATGTGACCTCATTTCTCAAAACACCATTTGCTTTCATGATCTTCAATCCCCCATAGGCTCCTTCCATATCCCCCACACTAACATACCCATCAGTCAAGCTGTTGTACGACACTACATTCAACTCAAAACCTGAATGCTCCATCTCTTTAACAAACTCCACTGCTCTATCCACCCTTCCCTGCTTGCAATACGCATTGACCATGATCGAGCAAGTGAAGACATCCGGCACAATCTCCAGCCTCATCATCTGAGCATAAACAAGCACGGCATTGTAACTCTGTCCTTTCCTAACAAGATTACTCAACAAGCTGTTACACAACCTCAAGCTCGGCACTCTACCGTACTTGAGCATATTATCAAACACTTGGAGTGCATTCCCCACCGTTCCTTTCTCCGCATACACCTTGAGTATCATATCCAACACAGGAGGAGAGAATCCGAACTCCCGATAAAACGCAACGAGCTCATCCCGCACTAGCCTTGAAGAATAATTATTCTTGCACAACCCAACCAATTGAGTCAAATATGACCTGGTCTCGACAGAATGTGAACCAGCTTGCAATAAGACTTGACGCCGGGTCCGAAATTGGGTTGCAACGCGGCCAATTTGAAGAAGATCAAGCAAGCGCCGGCATTGAGCCTGAGTTTCAGAAGAACAGAGTCGAGGAGGTCGCCGGAGAAGTCGAATTTGAGGTCGTCGAGGGCAGCGCGACGCTCGAGCACGAGGATTCGTGGCGGGTCTTCCAGTGGATTGACCGGCGGCGGCGGAGGCGGGAGAGGAGAAATGAAAGCGCGGGAGGAGGTGAACGGATTGAAGAGTACCTGAGCATTGAAGAGGGATTGAGATTGCGACAGTAATGAGATCATCCTATCATCGTATCTTATCGAATGTGGCAGTTTGGAGGTGAGACTGCATCTTTCGGAACTTCGAAGAGCTTCAGGGTTAAAGCTCAGTTCAGGTCTTATAACTCTGCTTCACTTCTGTGCTTCTTCTTCAGCTTTAGAAGTTTTCGACTTCAGATTGCCCAAAACAAAGAGACGCGAACGCCGGGATTTAAAGGCTTTGGTAAAACCGAGCCCAATGGCTCGTGGCTAATCGAGATTAGGCCAGTAATGAGGGAAAGCCTGTTTTACCATAAAATAAGCCCGGGCAGATACTCTTCTCGGAAGGAAGTGTCACATGTGGCAGATGACATGGCGCCAACAAGGTGACAACATGGCAGCAACACATGTGGCATGCATGGAAGACTAGTAGCATAGAGATGCTCCTAGGATTCTCCACCATAATGTAGAGCTTTATAGTGCACTTATGAGTCACATAATGGTGACATTGATAGAGTGCATAATGGGGGGGACTTAATGGGGTGTATTGATGTAGTAGAGGGACTTTATGAGGGGCATTGATGCCTTGTATGTGGAGAGGCCTATATAAGGAGCCATCTCCCTCATTTGTACTCATTCCATCATTTTTTAGAGTAATACACACTAGAGAGTTCTCCCATTTCCTTTGTCTTTGCTCTTGTTCTTTGCTTTCAAGTGAGTTGAGAGAAAGGCTGCCTAGCGCTCTAACGGAATTGAGAGCTAGGGCCGCACGATCGAGAGTAAGGTCGTGACAAGTGGTATCAGAGCCTGGTTCGGCTTTGTGCTAGCAAAGTTGAACCTAGAGCCAGAAGGAAAGGAAGAACCTCACCAAAAATGTCGGGATCAGAAGTCCACGACGATGAGAAGCACCGTGGAAGGGATACCGTGAAGAATCCCAAACCAAAGGGTGAGAAGTCAAGCACTCGTGATCCTATGACGTCTCTAGAGAGGCGTGTCTCTAGAATGGAGGTGAAGTTGGCGGAAGACATCAGCACCATCGAGGATTTGGGAGCAAACTTCACCCAAGTCGAAAGCGATTTTCAAGGTATGAATGCTCGTTTGTCGAGCTTGGAGATTGGTAATGATGGCTTACGAGAAGAGCTTGTGGCCCTCATCAACAACACCATCACCACATCCTTGAACAACGCCATTGGAGTTGTGAAAGAGCAAGTCCAGGCTGAGCTGGTCGGCGTGAAGGAGGAGATTGCAGATCTCAAGAGTGAGGTCACTCTCGTGAAGAGAGCCATGGCTAGCGGACCAGCCGCGGTGCAATCCGTCCCACGTGCTGATATTCCAAGACCGAAGAGCTTCGGAGGTTCACGGAATGCGAGGGAGTTAGAGAACTTCCTTTGGAGTCTTGAGCAGTACTTCAAGGCGTCCGGCATCCAAGAGGATGAGGTAAAGATTCGTACCGCTCCACTTTACTTGGTTGATGTTGCCATGGTGTGGTGGAGGCGACGTGAAGCGGACGTCGAAAGAGGTACTTGTGTGATGGCAACGTGGGAAGATTTCAAGAGAGAAATCAAGAGGCAGTTCTACCCAGAGAACGTGGAGTTTGAAGCCCGTTCGAAGTTGAGAAGACTCACCCAGAGGGGTGGAGTTCGAGAATACGTGAAAGAATTCTCGGAGCTGCTTCTGGAGATCCCGGACATCACGGACAAGGAGGCCATGCACGGCTTTCTTGATGGGCTGCAACCATGGGCCAAGATGGAGATGCAACGTCGAGGAGTGCAAGACCTTGCAACTGCCATGGCCACGGCAGAGTCTTTTGTCGAGTACAAACGACAAGAGAGCAGCGGCAGAGAGAAGAGTTCGAAGCCCAACAAGGGTGGAGAACAGCAGAAGCCTTTCAAGGAGGGTTCTCGCACTCAACAACACCAAGGTGGTTCGAGCAAAGGGGGTAAGTACGAGCCAAAACCCATGACTTGCTTCCTTTGCGACGGACCACATCGAGTGCGAGATTGCCCAAGGAAGGCGAGATTGGCAGCCATGGAAGCTCAAGATGAGGAGCCCAAGGCGGCGGAAGCCAAGATTGGCTCAATCCGCAAGCTTGGCGCGGCAAAGACCGACGTCAAGGAGAGCAAGCGGGGGAGGTGCTATGTTCTGGCGCAATTCATGCAAGGCGAGTCAAAAGCCTTGGTGGATACCGGTGCCACGGACAACTTTCTTCGCGTCGAGGAGGCGAACCGGCTGGGTATTGCCTACGAGAAGGGGCAAGGGAGGCTCAAGACGATCAATTCGGAGTCCATCCCGATTCATGGAGTGGCGCACAACGTACCAATAAAGCTTGGCGAGTGGGAAGGCCTCATCGACTTTTCCGTCGTCACCATGGACGATCACCCAGTCATCCTCGGCATCCACTTCCTCGACAAGGAGGGAGTGCTTTTGAAGCCCAACTCCAACACGATGTGCTTGGAGAAGGAAGGGGAGTTCCATACTGTTCATCTCTTGAGAGAAGATGGTTCCCATAGTGCTCTATCGGCCATGCAAGTGGTGAAGGGGTTCAAGAAGAATGAACCAACCTTTCTTGTATCCTTGAAGATGGAGGAAGAAGGAGGCTCAACGGGAATCACAACTCCCATCATCGAAGGTGTCCTCGAAGAGTTCGATGATGTGATGCCATCGGAGTTGCCCAAGAAGCTACCACCAAGAAGGGAGGTGGACCACAAGATCGAGTTGGAGCCAGGAGCGAAGCCCCCTTCGCGAGCACCATACCGCATGTCGCCACCGGAGTTAGAAGAATTGCGGAGGCAACTCAAGGACTTGGTGGACGCAGGCTACATGCGGCCATCGAAGTCACCTTTTGGAGCACCGGTGCTGTTCCAAAAGAAGAAGGAAGGGTCGTTGCGGATGTGCATCGACTATAGAGCCATCAACAAGTTGACGGTGAAGAACAAGTGGCCGATTCCCAACATTGCCGACTTGTTCGACCAGCTTGGAGATGCAATGTGGTTCACCAAGCTAGATCTTCGCTCGGGTTACTATCAAGTGCGGATAGCAGAGGGCGACGAGCCAAAAACGGCTTGTGTGACGAGGTATGGCTCTTACGAGTTTCTTGTGATGCCATTCGGTCTCACCAACGCACCAGCCACGTTTTGCACTTTGATGAATCAAGTGTTCGAGCCATTCTTGGACCGGTTTGTCGTGGTCTACTTGGATGACATCGTCGTGTACAGCAAAACACTCGATGAGCATGCCAAGCATCTACGCCAAGTCTTCCAAGTCCTTCGCGACAACGAGTTGTACGTCAAGAGGGAGAAGTGCACATTTGCCGCCACGGAGGTTCCATTCTTGGGGCACGTCATTGGTGGAGGCAAGTTGAAGATGGATGGAGCGAAGGTGCAGGCAATCCAAGAATGGGAGCCGCCGACGAAGGTGCCGGAGTTGCGGTCATTCCTCGGCCTTGCCAACTACTATCGGAGGTTTATCAAGGGCTACTCCAACATTGCAGCGCCCTTGACGGATCTCTTGAAGAAGAACAAGGCGTGGGATTGGTCGGAAAGGTGCCAAGAAGCGTTCGAGGCCTTGAAAGCAGCGGTGATGAAGGAGCCCGTGCTCGTGCTCCCCAACCCGACGTTGGCCTACGAGGTGCAGACCGATGCATCCGACTTTGCAATTGGGGGCGTGTTGATGCAAGAAGGGCATCCCATTGCCTTCGAGAGTCGGAAGCTCAGCGAGACGGAAAGACGATACACCGTTCAAGAGAAGGAGATGACGGCCGTGGTGCATTGCTTGCGCACATGGAGGCACTACTTGTTGGGGTCAAAGTTCGTTGTGAAGACGGACAACGTGGCAACGAGCTACTTTCTGACGCAGAAGAAGCTCACCCCTAAGCAAGCAAGGTGGCAAGACTTTTTGGCCGAGTTCGACTTCGTTATGGAGTACAATCCAGGCAAGGCGAATTCCGTTGCCGATGCTCTTAGCCGCAAGAGTGCAGCCGCAAGCATCAGCCAGCCCACATTTCCTTTGAAAGAGCGGATCGTTGAAGGTCTTGGCCATGACCCCTTCGCCAAAACCGTAGCGGAGTACATTGAGCAAGGTAAAACTCGGCGGTTTTGGATGAAGGATGGGCTCATCATGACCAAGGGAGAGCGGATGTTCGTGCCAAGATGGGCCAACTTGAGGAAGGAGATCATGAAGGAGTGCCATGATTCCAAGTGGGCGGGCCATCCCGGCATCGAGAGAACGCAAGCGCTCATCGAAGAAGCATATTTCTGGCCGCGTATGAGAGACGACGTGGAGATGTATGTGAAGACTTGTCTTGTGTGCCAACAAGACAAGATGGAGCAGAGAAGCCCGGCAGGCTTGCTAGAGCCCTTGCCCACGCCTCAACGACCATGGGAGAGTGTGAGCATGGACTTCATCATCGGACTTCCCAAAGTCGATGGATGCGGTTGCATCATGGTTGTGGTGGACAGGTTCTCGAAGTATGGAGTGTTCATTCCTGGGCCAAAAGACTTAACGGCGGAGGATGCAGCACGGCTATTCTTCAAGAACGTGGTCAAGTATTGGGGCATTCCTAGCAGCATCGTGAGCGACAGAGATGGCCGCTTCACGGGCAGATTTTGGCGAGAGTTGTTCAAGATCATGGGCTCAAATTTGAACTTCTCGACGGCATTTCATCCTCAAAGCGACGGACAGACGGAGCGGGTGAATGCCTTGTTGGAAGTGTACTTGCGGCACTACGTGAGTGCAAACCAACGAGATTGGGTGAAGTTGATGGACACGGCACAGTTCTCCTACAACTTACACCGCAGCGAGTCGACCAACACAAGTCCATTCGAGTTGGCGACAGGGCAACAACCTTTGACACCTACGACGGTGGCAACGGGGTATAGAGGCAACAGTCCGGCGGCCTACAAGTTTGCTAAAGGCTGGCACGAGAAGATGGAGATGGCCAAGTCTTACTTAGCCCGTGCTAGTAAGAAGATGAAGAAATGGGCGGACAAGAAGCGGCGGCACTTGGAGTTTGAAGAGGGAGACATGGTGATGGTCAAGTTCTATCCTCATCGTTTCAAGCATCTCAAGAACGTGCACAAGGGACTGCTTCGCCGCTATGAAGGGCCATTCCCCATCGTGAAGAGGATTGGCAATGTGGTATACAAGGTAGAGCTGCCGACGCACTTGGAGATCCATCCGGTCTTTCATGTGAGCCAACTCAAACCTTACCACGAAGACAAGGAGGACGGGCAACGAAGGGAGCCGCAGCGCGCACCAACACTCGTCACCAAGACACACGACCATGAAGTCGAAGAAATCATGGCGCGTCGTGTCATTCCTCGTCGCGGCGTACATCCAAGCTTTGTGGAGTACTTAGTCAAGTGGCGCAACCTTCCGGAGAGTGAAGCAACATGGGAGAAAGAGCTCACACTTTGGAAGAACAAGGACTTGATCGAGGCATTCCGTCAAGAAGACGCGACGAGGGCGTCGCGAGCATAGGTGGGGGAGGATGTCACATGTGGCAGATGACATGGCGCCAACAAGGTGACAACATGGCAGCAGCACATGTGGCATGCATGGAAGACTAGTAGCATAGAGATGCTCCTAGGATTCTCCACCATAATGTAGAGCTTTATAGTGCACTTATGAGTCACATAATGGTGACATTGATAGAGTGCATAATGGGGGGGACTTAATGGGGTGTATTGATGTAGTAGAGGGACTTTATGAGGGGCATTGATGCCTTGTATGTGGAGAGGCCTATATAAGGAGCCATCTCCCTCATTTGTACTCATTCCATCATTTTTTAGAGTAATACACACTAGAGAGTTCTCCCATTTCCTTTGTCTTTGCTCTTGTTCTTTGCTTTCAAGTGAGTTGAGAGAAAGGCTGCCTAGCGCTCTAACGGAATTGAGAGCTAGGGCCGCACGATCGAGAGTAAGGTCGTGACAGAAGCCACCGAAAGCCAAATGTAGTAGGAGATTAGAAAAGTATAGATGAGTTGGAAATGAGAAAAGTATAATTTTTTTTAATTTTTTAATTTTCACGTCACTCATTTAATGGTTATTATTAGAGTTGACTGTTACATCAGTAAAAGTTAACGGAGACTAACAGTCGCTTAGTGATCAAATTTGGACTATTAACCTAATTTAAGTGACTACGGATGGAATAAAGTAATTCGAGTGACTAAAGTGAACTTTACTAGTAATTCAAGTGACCAAACTTACAATTTAGCCCGATTTTATCGTCTAAATGAGTAAATTTTGGTACTTTTCATTTACGACAAGGAGTACATTACATTCAATGTGGTTTTGATATTTTGCGTATCTACATCAAATTCATTTGATTATGTAGTACACTACAAATTGTTCTAAACTCACTCACTTTACTATTTAGGACATCAATCCCTCTGATTATATAATTATTTGTTAGACCCAAAATCATGCTCATTTTACCAATTGTTACCGGCAAAAGCTCCAAAAAATTTCTATTAACAATGACATTTTAAGTAAAATTTTACTTTATACCAAAAAATTGGATATTTCTGGGCGGAGATAATGTAAATATGTTTTTTTCCTAAACGACATCCCGGTATATTTTGAGATGTTATATTGCATTCCCGTCAAATTTTGGTTATGGAGATGATTATTAATATAAAACAAGATGATATGTATAGAAAAACTATTCCAATCGATATCCTTCCCACACTATTGGAGGCTTGTTCATGGGTTGCTAAGAAAATAATCACAAAGTTTAGATCAAACTAAAAAGTATATTAGTCTCAACGGGATAATATGCTAGAGTAGCACACTTTGTGCTCGAGCGATAACCAATTATTTTATGAAAATAAGTATCCTTGTGCCAATATAGCTAAGGCGTGTTTAAGTAATTACTCGAATTTTAGAGATACGAATTGAGAGAAGCTTTTCTATATATCACTTGTTTACAAGTATAATTAAATACAACAGATTTCTAAAAAAAAAAGTATAAATACAACAGAAAATCAATGCATAAGAGGAATAATATTCGTGCATAACCAATCTTAAGGGATTTTTCCAGAAATAGCACATTTAAAAAAATTACAAAAATAGCACCCATCCGTAAAAATTTACACTAATAGTACCCTTTTTAATAGAACGCACCTTGTAGATGCGTTTTATATTTAAATCGCACCCTAAGGGTGCGTTTTACAAATAGATCGCACTGGTAAGGTGCGTTCCAATTATCTGGACTCAAATCGCACTTTAGCCAAGCGATTTACGTCTGACCTACTGAAATCGCATGGCCGAGGTGCGATTTTAGGTCTAATCTATTAAAATCGCATCATAAAGGTGCGATTTGTTTCTGCCAAACAAAATCGCACCATGAGGATGCGATTTTGCCATACAAACCGCACCTTGAAGGTGCGGTTTTGGTCAATCAATTTTCGACATGCCATGCAGACGTAACAGACGTGGGTCTGCATGGGCCTGCATGGCAGACGAAAATCGCACCTCTAAGGTGCGGTTTTCATCAGTGATTTTGCCTATAAAAGGCCTCCCGGACAACCACTTCTCTTCACACCTCTCCTTCTCCCTTCCCTTTTCAATTTTCTGTTGTAGCTCTATATTTCTTTAGTAGTTTTGCGATTAACGTTAACTCGTAAGTTGATGTAGCTCTATATTTCTTTAGTAGTTTTGCGATTAACGTTAACTCGTAAGTTGATTTAGTATTACTTTTTATTGTTATTTTTTATTTTTGATTTTTATGATATTAACTGAACTACGGTTTTATCGCAGATGGCATTCCAAAAGTTCACGCTTGGCTTACGGTGGAATGGTTACACGGAAGAGACCGGAAAGGGTGCCACCTACGTAGGTGGCAATTTTTAGAAGATAAAGGTCGCTACCAGACCGCTCCTTGAAGACCTCCATCAAATGTGCACTAACGTTACTTGCATGGATGGCACGAGAAGAGTTGATCGTATGGTGTACCGATATCCAAACAGAGAAAGTGGGTCATTGTGGCATGAGGAATATCTCATAACCACTCAGGATGAGGTAGACGCCATGCTCGAATTCATGAGGTCCAACAATCTTTCCAAAGCCGAGATGTTCGTTTACACCGAGCCGGTCGTAGGCGTTGGAGGTCATTCTAGACACGGTCAAACATCTGGTATCCATGGTGGAGGTGAATTATATGGCAATCATCCCTACCAAAGTTACCATGATCCTCATTCATATTTTCAGTACCAAGAGCAAGGTGAAGGTCATCATCAATCATATGAAGAAGAAGTTCAACCGGACCGACCCAACCAACCACAGTACAACTTCCTCTCAGGCAGCGGCAGTTTTCACAACTACCATCATGGAGCTGATGAAGGTGCCTTTCATGAGCTGGATCAGATGGAGGATGTCATGCCAGCACCAGTCAGTGACCCCTCCGATGAAGAAGGAGAGAACAACGTCAGTGCAGACAGCTCCGACCCTCTTGAAGGTGCCGATGATTCAGGACCAGAGTCAGACTCAACTAATGATGATGAGGGGGCTCGTGACCGTGTACCAGTCCCCTACTACAATCACATTCCATACGACAATTGGATGGTCGACAGCGACATGGAGCCGCCAGAGGTCCCAATATGGGGTCCACTCACTGGGTTTATGAAGGGCCAACAATTTGGCTCGAAGAATTTCTCCAGCTTCAAGGGCCAATCTCGAGTACATTGCCGCCCATCTCGACCATGGAAGGCCCTTTGACTTTCGGGGACCTCCAACGGAATGCACTGCTCCCGACCAAACTGACGGAGGCATCGATCCGGCAAGTGCCACTCCACGGTCCCAAAACAAATTAGAGGGACCCTCGTGCACCATTGGCCGATATGCTCGGGGAATTGCTGGAGATGCCAATGAACGATGTTCTCCGGGTATGGATCGAAGATGATCTACACGCGCAAAATGAGTAAATTAAGATAGTAAGAATTGGAAAAATACATGTCTTCCATGATAAAAAGGTATAAATGGATCGAAGTATAGAAGTTACCTCTCCTTCCCAAAGTCTCTCAAACCTCCTCCGATACTCATCCAACTTGTGTTGGGCAAGGTTGTCACAAGTTGTGTGTCCGAGCCACCTTATTAATAAAACAATAAGCTAAAACACAAGGGAAAATCAACCAAGAAAAAACATGATGGGTATGAGAAGTTTACTTTGTACCATAAGCTTCCCCTCTTAGGGGATGATAGATTGGCCAATCCCGGTCGGGACGTTGTACCGGTGCAATCCATGGCATATGCTCCCACGCCCAAAATTGGACGATGAACATTGCGCCGCCGACCTCCCTCACAGCTTTTAGAGAGGCATTGCACAAGTTGTGGTAGATATTAGCTAGGCAAGCGGATGCCCAACTATACTCCCCCATCTCCTCCCAACTACCGAGGATGATCCTAAGCCATCCACAACTAAGGAGATTGCTTGCTTTTTTGGAGAAGAACACTCCTCCGATCATGCCAATGAGATAGACCCGAGCATATCTCTCCTTCTCATCCTCCGGACTTTCCTCGGTTAGGGGATGACTCTCGTAATGCTCTCTAAAGTACTTCGTCAACCAAGTAATTGACACTTGGTGTTTCCTCATTGGTGGCATGCGATCGGTCGCATCAACGCACCCCTTCACTGGTACTTTTACTCCCAAAACACTATAGATGAAATGAACCCAACCGGGCATACCGTCGACATCGTCGGGGGGATGATCACTCACGCACACCGGTTTGCCGTCGATGGGGAGATGGTTTAGGATGGCGACATCCTTTAGTGTGATGGTGACCTCTCCTTCTCTAAAGTTGAAGCAATGGGTCTCCTCTCTCCATCTCTCAACTAGGGCGGTGATGAGTTGGCGATCAACTTTGATGCCGTTAAAATGCCTAATCGAGTCCAATCGTGCCCTTTTGAGAAAGGGCGAGATAGCTGGGTGGAATGAGAGCACATTGGTCGTACCCCTGTAGCGGATTATTGTTTGTGCCTCCTAGGGAAAATTTACACGTTAATTATTATATATTAGTAAGGGTTTATTCCTTATAACTAAATTAATTAAATTAAATTATTTAACTTCAAGCAGAATTTTATTATCATAAAAAGACATTTCATATAATTAACATAATAGCATTCTAAATTAATAATAATTTAAAGAGATACATACATATTATCATAAAACGAACATCCTAAATTAATTAACATAATAGCATTCTAAATGAATAATAATTTAAAGAGATACATACATATTATCGTAAGCTAAACATACGAAATTAACTAAATTAAATGACATTGTTAATGAATCGGTATTTTAAAGAGAAACATACATATTCAATTATTTGAAATTAATAAAATTCCATTTGTACACATCAAAATAAATCGTAAGGGTTGTTTGGTAAATTATTTAATCGTGTTGGTTGTTTTAAATAATTTAATCGAATACAAAGCAACACTCGTTAGACTCTTAGAAGAGGTATACATCTTCTTAGAAACGCAGTCTTGTTGACAGAAAAAGGGGGGATCCGAGGATCTCTTAATACCCGATTTTCCCAGGGAATGGGAGGATATGATAATCGCTTAAAACCCCATTTCCTTAGACGTGCATCTCTTTATAAAGAGTCGAAGTAAGTGGCGCTATGTATTCGATTAAATTATTGAAAACAACCAACACGATTAAAAATTCAACATAAATTTATTTTATATTCCACTAAATACATTAACAAAATAAAAGAAGGACAAATGGTAAAGAATTGTATGTACCGGGTGAGCGTTCCAAACATCCCTTGACCGATGGTTGGGTTGGTCGTACAAGTCGGTTGGATCCAACGGTCCTTGCTCGAGATAATACCGTTGGTTGTAAATATCCACGTCCTCCCCAACCTACGAGAAAATAACAACGAGGTTAGTACATAGATTAATTAAAAAGCTTATAACAACAAAAAAAATTAAACCCGAATAATGAGTACGTACCGCTTGAAATTCATCAACAAAAACTCCTTCTCCTTGCCACCAATCGGCCATTTTTTCGGCGCAATTCGGACAGAGCTTCGGCTCGGCTCGGCGGGTTTTGAGGAAAAAACCTAAGAAATGTTTTCTGATGGCAGATCGGACTTAGCCGCAACCAACAGACCACTATTTCCTAGGCTTTTGGGAGGGGGAGGGTTTAGAGAGATAAAACCTAGAGAGAGAAGGAATAATGGGTTGTGGTGTGAAGAAATGAGAGGGGAAGGGGGGGTATTTATACCCATCAGATCGCACGCTCCAGGGGCGATCGGGTAATTTTGCCCTCGCGCGGATCGCACTCTTACAATGCGATTTGCACTTCCCTAGGCGCGGATTGCACCCTTCCGATGCGATTTGTGCTTCTTTGGGCGTGGATTGCTCCGCTGGCAAGCGATCTGGGATCCTCGGCGCGGATCGCTCCGCTGGCATGCGCTGAGCCGCCCGATCGTCCCTCCATCCAACGATCTTGAAGATCGTTCCGCGTCCTCCCCAAATCGCACTGACGTATTGCGATTTATTTTTTCGATTGCACCCCTCTGATGCGTTTTACATGTAGATTGCATCTTTTCGGTGCGTTTTACATGTAAAACGCATCTTAGGGGTGCGTTCCAAAAAAAATGGTGCTAGTTTTGTAATTTTTTTTATATGGGTGCTATTTTTGTAATTTTTTTTAAAGGTGCTATTATTGGAAAAATCCCCAATCTTAACCTTAATTTTTTAAGAATGAGTTTATATTGGACTTTGCTACGGTGACATGTCACCGTGACATGAACTTTTTGGTCGATCTAATCCTAAAGGCGGTCAATCGAATTGACTAATTCAGTTATGTGAGGTTCAGAGACCGCTCGTCGGGCCTGATAGGTGGTGGTATCACACCCTTCTCAAAGGAACCGTACGTGACACTCTCGCGTCATACGGCTCCGTCCCGGAATCAGGACCCCCCTTTCCTTTGACCAACGGGTCCTCGAACCAACCTTTCCTTCCCGCTCTGCACCTCGGTAAGCGCTTTCTTTTCATTCATTGATTGATTCAAGGTAGCTGTAGCTTGCTTCCAAGTCCAAGCGCTAGCGGTAGAAGCGAGTCGCCGGAAGCGAACTTCCCGGCCGGGAAGGAGCCAAAAAACGTGAGCGCCCCCGCAATCTTTCTAAAGTAACAAGCGCGAAACGTCGACTTTGAGAAAGAAGGGCCTTATATTAGAATAGTAGTAAAGGCGCGTTAGCCTATCGTCAGTATAGTAAGGGTTCTTGCTCGTTAGCGCTTTAGTTTTCAATAAGGACGTTTAGGCTTTACTAATAACATAGAAAGGGCTTTTCTCGCTTGTTTAGTATTGCTTTGGTTTCGCCGTCCGTATCTTGCTGGCGCGGAAGCTACCGCAACTAAAATAAAATGAATGAAAGAAGAAGGCATTAGCATTAGAAAGACTACAGAGGCATTCCGGGCCGACTACGATACAAGTCATGAGCGATAGCGAAGCCAAGCCGGATAGGCTTTTTTATGTCGAAAGCGCCCCAAAACTAGCTATCTTATAGCAGACAACTAAGACAAGCCTACTCAACAAATCTCATAAGTAAACGCCTATTCGCCGACTCAAATATAGTAAATAAAAAAGGCGGGAAGACCCTTGCAGAGTTCCCCAAATACCTCATAGGCCGACCATTGTGCACCTATCAGGTTGACCGCATTCGTAAGAGGTCGACCACATTCACACCATATCCGTATTGGATAAGGATTCCAACACCAGAAAGGTTCCACAATTGGACAAGAAAACGAATTGGGTTGACCCATTCACGTCCTAAATCTCTATAAATACGAATATAAGTCCCCTTCAACGCCACCAAAAGTATGAATTAGGTTTTTACCGATTTAGAGCCTTTGTGAAGAAGATCGTTCGTGGTTGATGTTGTACGTGTTGAAATTGGTCGACCACGTCGAAGGTGAGGTCAACCTACTGTAGCATTCGCGGTCATCTTCTCTAATGCGTGATTTCCACCGTCTAATTTGATATATTTTTGCGTGCAGAATACCATTCGGTCGACCTTGACCTCAACCAGGTCGACCTGACGAGACAATTCTTCGGAATTGAATTTAGGGCACAACACTTGGACTTCCGTATTTGCGAGATAAAGAAGATCAACCCAATAGGTCGACCTAATGTGTTTCAAGGTCGGCCGTTTCTGTTTGTTTTGGTTGTTCAACTTGAATGTCGACTTGGCTTTGTTTGTAAGACTATGTTGTGCTTCAAAAGGTCGGCCGCTCAAGCTATCTGGTCGACCTATCCGTTTTTCTGTTTAATATTGCACTTGCTTTTGTTGGTTAATTGTTCTTTTCCTGATGGTTAGGTCGACCTAGGAAGATCAGAGGTCGACCTTTAAGGTTGTGGTAGTCACAATTTGTCTTTCAGGTGGACCTAATAATTTGTCAGGTCGACCTCGTCTATGTTTTTTGGTCAATTGTAGAAATTTGAAGTTGAATTATGTTTTGAATTTTTCTTTAAATTGTTTAGACGATGACGCATGACGAGAGTCTGCATCAAGATTTGGGTGAAATCATGAAAGTGTTGAAAGTCACACAAGAGCAGTTGATGGTGTGTCAAAAACAAGTCAATGACTTTCAGAAGTCCATTCGTGATAAAGTGGAGCAATTGTCAGTTCGATTGACAGATATGACTGGGATGATGCATGATGGGTTTGAGAGGCTAGAAGGTGCTATCAAAGATATAAGTGCAGAACGAATGGAGAATGGAGGAAGAGATGGTACAGGAAAGAAATTTGACTTTGATAAAGAGGAGGAAGACCATGATGACTCTACAAATTGCTACCAGAGCATAGACGATTTATTGAAAGAGCACAATTTAAAGGTAAACAAGTATATTTATATGTGATTGAAGATATTAGTATTACTATCATTAGTGCTAATTTGTTTTGTTTATATGTTAACAGAGTGAAACAACGAA